ATGGCCGGATAACAACGCTCTGGTACAATTTTTCTTTAATTCTGGTACAAAAAATGTTTGCTCTCTGGCAACACTGGCTGAACATTATTCATCAAGAGGCGCCATGTTTAACCACGCTAGTAGAAATGAAGAAAACGAGTAATAGAAGTAAGCACATCAAGTCCCCTCCTACGTCATCCATATAGGCTATAGCTTTTCCATATCTCAGGTTCCCTAGAACTTGACAGTGAAAAACTGCAGGAGCGTTACACAATCCAAACGGCATCCCTAGACATTCAAAATGACCATCTGGTATAGCAAAGCGACAGAACGCCTGTTGAAACAAAATACATAGTTAAGTTGGATCGTTTCCGGCCCAATAACATCCGAATCCCCCGTTATTCAAGTTGTCAGTATGAAGAAGACAAACAGCTAACCAAGTTCTGGAAAATTTAAGAAATAGCCCAAGCGCACCAGCTAAAAGAAGAAGAGATTTACTAGGAACCACAACTCGAGACTCCGAGGGTAGATTCGTAGTTAGAATCCCATTCATAAAATCTGCAAATGTAATAGGTCACTCTAAACCAAGATCCTCTGCAAGATTCAAGAACATCATAAAAAAAAATTACATCATCATGATTCCAATTTCCAAGAACAATATTCAGCATTCATGAAAGAATACCTGGAGTTGGGTCACATGAGGAGAGTTACTCGACATGAAGTGCACCAAGGAAGATATTACATCCCCCATCAAAGAAGGCATTTTAGACAATCGGCCATTTTCGAGTGTTTTTATCCAGTTTCTCCTCAAATTTTCCACTTTTCCAGGCCGGTTATACGCGAGCCCGAAGGGCCGGAGTTATACGAGAGCCCGAAGGGCCGAAGTTATTTCAATCACGAGGCCCAGTTTATAATTCTATTGGTCAGCGAATAATTTGGAGCCAATCAAAAACCGGGAATATTCAAAATGCGATTTTTAGCGCCCAATCAAAGAGCCGGGAATTTTCAAAAACTTTAGTTTTATCAAGATGACTTTGGAATGTTGGTTTTCTATTGGGTTTTCTTAAGATTTTTACTTTTTTCAGAGAACGGTGGTTTTTGCAAACATACTACATTAACGTTGTCATTGTCTTACTCACTATAATCAACGAGTAAACCTTGTAATGTCATTATTATTTAAAATAAGCTAAAAACAAATTTCCGATGCTTTATCTAGGGAATTTTAATTATTTTAATCATTATTTATCAATTGTAACATTTGAAATGTCACAAGAACATATTTAATCGTTCTTAATTATTTCTATATATATTGGATTCATTTAAACAATGTTTAGGAGTACTATTTCGTACACCTAGCGACATCTGTGATTGCTCTGACTAGTTTCCTAACCCAATACCGAAAATTATGTTATTGAGAGATGCATTCGGCTTGCTCACTCCGTACACTTCGAGTGACTCCATTCGCACTCCAGCTGTTCGGGTACTGCTTTTTACCATATTAGGGTTAGTTTTATTCACTCCACTCCAACTCCGAACCAAACTAGGGTTATTTTTTTGATAACCGGTAGCGCTGTCATTTTTATAATTTCGGCAGGCTGGACAGAGGAGGAAAGACAGAACCACATTTTATAGTTAGACTGAAAAGGTCGTCTCTGGAAAATCCAAAAACTTTGGTTTTCATTCTTGGCCATGGAGCCCAAAATTATATTAATTTAACTAGCCAGAGTAGTGAGTGATTATGTCAGCTGGAAGGTTTAAAGTCAGGCCTATAGTTTATTACAGCAACGCGAGATGTCAGTACTGTCGCCCCTATAGTGTGCCCTAACTTGATAGTCAAAAAAAAAATAGAAATCTGCATTTGATTAAATTGTGTGATGGAAAGTTTTTTCTTTTTTTTTGCGGAAATTCAAGTATTATTCTGTTTTACATAAACAGGGTTGTAGTTTGGACCAACATAAATAATTTTGAACGTTCATCCGTCGGATTTTTTTAAAAACAGTGTAGCTACAGGCGTATTTCCAACTATTCTTGCAGTAGCGAGAAAACTACAAGTTCAAAAAATTTGAAAAAAATATATGTCGCGTCGAATTGCAATAGTAGTTCGTAATGAAAATAACGGGAAACTTCATGTATTCGTTTTGAAATAAATGGTGAAAAACCACTTTTACTTCAGTTTTTGCGAAATAACTCAAAAATGGCGAGTCAAATTTGCTTAAAAAAATTATGGATTAAAGTATATCAATAACCATAAAACATATATTTTTTTTTGGAATTTTTGAACACAAGGTTCAGAAAATGGGGGTTGACTTTAAACCTTAAATGTCAAATAGCTATTGGATTTTGGATATTTTTTCTTTCTTTTCAGATTTTTGCAATTATCTTTTTAAACAATAACTAATTGTTGGAATAGTGCCTAGTTTGGCTATTCCTTGGTAATCAAAATAATTTATACAAACTAGTGGCGCCCTCTCTCTACTGTACCAACACCAAGGACTACCCCATGCTAAACAACCACTGAGCAATAGTCGAGCACAAATTATGAACATTCTTTTGTTTCGACAAAAGGAGGCCTTGTAATAAATATCATTTGTCATTTTTGACAGTCGGCCATTTTCATTTGACGTGTTTACATTTTTATCCAGTTTTTCCTGGAATTTTCCACTTTTCCGGGCTTTTTCCGATCGGAAAAATCGATTTAAAGTACGAGGCTTTGAGTTTCCTTTATTTTGTATCAAAAATTTTGAGTTTTTCAACGGGGTAAGTAACAAAAACTTGAGTTGCATCAAGTAGGCTTTGGAATGTCATTTTTCAATGGTTTTTCTTTGGCCTTTCCGCTTTTCCGATCAGGAAAACTGATTTAAAGTACGAGGCTTTGAGTTTTCTCTATTTTCTGCCGGAAACCTAAACTAAACACAAACTACGTCAACGAAAAACTACGTACCAGCGTACTTTTTCAAAACAAATGGTGTACACAAAAACTTCACCAGACTCCAGCAAAGATACAAATGGAAGACTCAGGCTAACAATATACCAGTAGGAGATAATCAAAGAAGAAAATATGAACCCCAACTAGTGGCCTCTAGGGAGAATAGTAGAAACTCCTCAGGGACAAGACCTTCATCAGGGACAGTACCCTCCATAAACACATACCTTCACATCTAGCCATCGAGGCTGTGTTTAGAGAAACAGATGGTTTTGGAGTAAGAGAACAGGAGGACTTCGGAGATAAACTTCATAATACAGTCGGCGCAGTATTCATCACCACTCCACAGCTACCAGCAGCATTACAACAATAGTCATCATCATAACGGTGATAGCAAGATGGCAGGCAACAAAATTAATCAGCAGGGCTGGGACTCTGTAACGAATAGAGATCGTTATCCCGATCACTATGGCTCTTGCCGTTTTCTTCTCTCTTATCGAAATCAATAGAGAGGGAACGTCAATAGGGATAGCGAAAATATCTCTATTCGTTACAGAGTCCCAGCCCAGAAGACCTCAGAAACAGCAACCAGATGAACACCAAAACCAAAACAAAGAAATAGAGCTGATGTCTTTACATTTTTCCATTCTGAAGAGGCGGCAGAATGTCTAATTAGAACCATTAGGACAACAAGGATTAGTATGAGAATTCATTACAAATGAAATTGAAATTAAACCCTGTATACAAATAATTCAATATAATCTTTTGAGATTGTTTCGGTATCCAAAAGAAATAATTCATTGGCAAATCCTCGAGGTTAACAATAAAATTTTCAATACCCCCTTTTGATATAATGTTGTGGCTCCCCGAATATACACGACTCCCTGGCGGTTCCTGGTCCGCGGAAAACCCGTAAAAGTGTATACGAAATTACAAATGGAAATATTAATGCCTCGGTTTTCGCCGGAGATCACATTTAAAATTACATTAGCTGTGTTGGTTCCAGGTATAAGAAGAAGCGATTTTTTTTTGTTTGTTTGCACCAAAGTAAAATATAAAAAGCTCCATTTTGTATAAAAAGCCTTGAGGCTATTTGTTGTGTAACTTTTTATGCATCGAAATTTCTAATTAGCATTTTGAATTAATTCGATGAAAAGCACCCACTCTTATTTTATTCATAATGGGAAATTGATAATTAGATTTTTCGTACACCTGAAATTATTTTAACTAAATCAATCAGTAGGTTGTTCAGTTTATTGTCGATAATACGTCATTAAAATATTTGATTTATTTTAAAATTTTGATTTCGCATCAATAAATCTTTAATTTTGACAGGATAGATAATTTTATTTTCAGGAAATTAGTAATCTAATCATGTATTAGATTTAAGACGACGGACCTATTTTTAATCAGTGGATCTTTCACAATTTATTTGATTATTAGATATATTTTTTTAAAGAAATTAGTGATCTAAACATGGACGAGTTACCTCTTATCATGGCCTGAAAGAAGTGATTGATATAAGTTAATTTCAGGCTGATTTTCATCTAGAATGTCCAAGTTAATATACCCAATAATTAAATCAATGTCTGTTTTCTCAGTTTCATTTAACAAATAGACATTGAAATCAATAATAAAAATATTTTATTTAGATGAAGGTGACTTGTATATTTTACATTGAGGAAAAAATTAATACTTAGAAAGACAAGATGCAAAATAGAATAGCCATTAATATTTTCAGACTTCAGATTAGTGAAGATTGTAGATGGCAAACTCAAAAAGCAACACAATCTATTGGAAAATTGAAAAAAAAAAAAATATATTTTAAGTGTGTGACTTCTCACTACTTTACTAACCTGTACAGTAAGGCACGCGAAAATTACCCTCCAAGAATAATAATCTCAGAGACTATGACACACACTTGTTGTTTTGAGACAATGAAATTATTTCAGTTAACAAGACAAGGTAAATTTTTGTATATAATTTAAAAATCCCTCTCAAGAATAAAAAATAGTGTGTGCAAATTCCGATTAAGTTAAGGAATTTTTAAATAAAAATACAAAAAATCTACATTAAACATAAAAGTTCTTACCCTTACCTCTGCCACTTCTGCCGACAAATCGCAAATCGTTAAACTTCGCAACTTGATTCTTCATAATCGCCGTGCAGTTTCTCAATTCGGCACAATAATTCTCGTCGTTGCCCGCTCGTACAGTGACCACAGTACCATCTCCGACTTCGCCCAACGCCACAACCTTAAACGCAACCGGTAAAGTTTTGTTCGATCTCCAATGCGGAGGTAACACCGTACAAACCACGTGCGGACACCCGGTCCTCGTTAATTCGCCCGGATGTTCCGCTAATAGACCGTCGATTGTTCTTTCCGCCAACATCTCCGCGGTCAAGTTACCATAATAGTGTCCGGTGGTCGAGGTGACTTCACTAGCCAGATGCATGATGTTTTTTGGTTCAAATTTACGACCGGCGGAAGAAAACTTCGCTAGCGCATATTCTAGCGCTGATTTTTCAAACAAATGACTGCCCGGCTGCCTGGACGCGCAAATGTGATGAAAAATCACGCGTTGCTGTGGTAGTAAGTGTGGACCGCAGCCGTTGGAAAAGTGCGCGCAATATCTCCCGTCCTTTGCATTCTTTTTCCTCTTCGACTAGTGGCCCTTTTTTTTTTTCTGCCCTAATAACGTGTCGTTGTCTCTTTCTCTCCGGCTTCCGTCGATTGTTTTTAATTAGCCCCTGGGTGACTGCGATTGTTTCGCCTCTACGTGTTGCTACTTTGTCGCTCGTGTTAAGCCAGATGATTATTTTGTTTCTCGTTTTAAGGATTAAAAGTCAATTTTCTGGTCTGCGGAGGAAACGTCCGTTCGTTCCGGTCCGATGATGATAATTTTATTTCTATTTCTTTTTGTCAGAAACGAACTGCAAAGAACATAATTAGATTAGTATCTTATTTGTTTCTCATCAAAATATAATTATTAATGGTAGTTGACGTTTCAAGCAACCGTCAAGATGTCCTAGAGCCCTCGCCTCTATACTACTATTTTTTTGCTATTATACAAAGATACATCTAATAAAAATAGAAAGATAAATCATCACACTTATCTAGATTACTTATATGTCTCAGAAACAAGTAAAAATCTTACATAAATTCCACATTTATAACTGCATTGAACTAGTTCAAGAAAGAACTGAGAGGATCCAAAAGAAAGTTTTAGTGTGAAAATATAGAAAGTACCTACCTACTCAAGATTGAGCTAGACTACAAAGATATCTCTCAAGGGACTGAAATGAAAGAAAGGTGTAAAACTCTAAATGATCAAGATGGATACAAATACAAACAGAGAAAAATCCGTAATGAAAACAGGATGTCAAAAGAGAAATGGCTAACTGAAAGATGCACAGAGGCCGAAAATCTGAACCACCTTGAAAACAGCTTCAATCTGCATAAGAAAGTAAAAGAAATAGCTGAACTAGACAACAAATTTCATTAGAGATGAGCACAAGAAGTGAAAGTCCCAGCTATCAGAACCAAAAATATTAGAAAGCGAAATCCTGTATGCCATGAAGCAAATGAAAAGCAACAAGGCTGTGGAACTTGATGATATGTATTCAGAAACGTTTTTCAAAAATCATAGATGGAAAGCTGAAATTTACAGCGATTCTTATCCGAATAGAAAACTACAATCCCTGAAAATTTCAGCTCATGTGGGCTTATAGTTCCAGAAATAAACTCGTGTTAAGCAGTTTGGGATGATTTATCAATTTTTCTGAGTGCCTTTTTTCATAGAATCCGGCTCCAAATCTCAGAATAATTTACTGTATGGAGTTTGGGGGATCCGAAAAGACCATTAGGACACAAAATCTCAACAACAAAAAATTTGAAATTTCACCGTTTTAGTACTAAGGTAGCCTTACCTTATCATTTAGATTTTGGAAAATTTTAAAAGGTCATTACTTTTTTTTCTATTATAGATAGAAAGCTGAAACTTTCACTGATTTTTATCCCTTTCAAAGGACTGTAATCGCTGAAAATTTCAGCTCATTTGCACTTATAGTTCCTGAGATAAAATCGTGTTAAGCAATTTGGGGTGATTTATCAATTTTTCAATTTTTCTGAGTGCTTTATTTCATAGATTTCGGCTTCAAATCTGAGAATAATTAAGTGTATGCAGTTTGGAGGATGTTGATTGACCATTAGGATACAAAATCTCGACAAAAAAAAAATTGAAATTTCATCGTTTTAGTAAGAAGGTACCTACCTTATCATTTGGATTTTGGAAAACTTTGAAAGGTCATAACTTTTTTTCTATTTTGGATAGAAAGCTGAAAGTTTCACTGAATTTTATCCCTTTCAAAGGACTACAATCCCTGAAAATTTCAGCTCATTTGCATTTATAGTTCCTGAGATAAAATCGTGTTAAGCAATTTGGGGTAATTTATTAATTTTTCAATTTTTCTGAGTGCCTTTTTTCATAGATTTCGGCTTCAAATCTGAGAATAATTCAGTGTATGGAGTTTGAGGTATGTTGATTGACCATTAGGATACAAAATCTCGACAAAAAAAAAATTGAAATTTCATCGTTTTAGTAAGAAGGTACCACCTACCTTATGATTTAGATTTTGAAAAACTTTGAAAAGTCATAACTTTTTTTCTAGTATAGATAGAAATCTGAAACTTTCACTGAAATTTGTCCCTTTCAAAGGACTACAATCCCTGAATTCCAGCTCATTTGCATTTATAGTTTCAGAAATAAAATCGCGTTAAGCAATTTGGGGTAAATTTCTCATCAATATATCAATTTTTCTGAGTGCCTTTTTCCATAGAATCCGGCTTCAAATCTTAGAATAATTTAGTGTATGGAGTTTGGGGGATCTCAAAGGATCATCAAGATACAAAATCTCAACAACAAAAAAATTGAAATTTCATCCTTTTAATACTGAGTAGCTGCCTCAGTACTAAAACTATGTAATATTATGTTGGCTATTTACATTACATAGCCTACTTAGATAGAAATTCAGATGGATAATGAAAAGGTACTTCTTATTTATGGATGGCATTTATTTTTTTGGTGGTAAAAAATCAATTTTCATATCAGTAAAGAGATCCACTACCCAGTAAAAGGCCTGTACAGGGCATCAAAATACTAGAATCAGACATGGGGACAATAAGAGCACCATGCCTGAGAAAGAGAAAATAAAAATGGGCTTGAAAGGGTGAAACGAACAACAACAATGTTCATGTCGATGCTTTTTAGTGGCATGCTAGTTTCTAGACGTTGCTCTCATAGAAGGACAAACTGTCTTTGATATGATTATCTACAAACGACTAAGGGCCAGTTTTACAAACGATGGTAACCACAAGATACTGATAGCCCACAATATATCTGTTTCATAATGTGTGATTTAGCCAAAACCATTGGTCAAGCTTCAGCTTATTCACTGAGGTCAACCCGCAACTATGAGTTTGATAACCAGTGCAGGCTACAGCAATTGTGAAACTGGGCCTAATGGTGGGTATTTTAAAACTATTTTGACAGAATAACTTAAAGTTAAATTCTGGGATGACGATACTTTTCATAGGCCCAGTTTCACAATTAGTGGTAACCTGCACTGGTTCTTAAACTCATAGTTGCGGGTTGACTCGCGAATAATCTGACTAATGGTTTTGGCTAAGCCACACATTATGAAATAGCTATATTGTACAATACCATAGTGTCTTGTGGTTACCGTTGAGTTACCACTGTTTGTGAAACTGGCCCATAGTAATTCCAGATGTTAACTGTTAGTTATCTGTCAAAATAGTTTTATAATACCCGCCCTAAGTTATACCTTATATACCACAAAGTTAATTTTAAAGAGATCAGAGAAGGGATAACAAATTCTGGGACAACAAAGAAGTATTCGAATTGGACTCAATTTCCTCCCCAACTAACCAAGAAACCACAAAACTTAAGTTCCTTTTTTATCAAAATATCTTCAGCAGCTATTAACGTCGTCAACGACAGGTGAACAAACACCTATGATAAACTTCGAAACGATTATCCCCCTATATTTTGTAAAGGTAGTTTATTAAATAGAGGGGTGAACAACGTCGAAACATTTGACAGTCTTTGCACGTTCTGGTCCAGTAAACGTGAGGGGAGCGCGCGAGAAACGGCTGATTTATGACTCATCTTTTCAACAAGGCCCCCGTTTTGTTTTATTGAAATTTGACACAATATTTTTTGCTAAAAATCTCTAACCCTTATAGTATATCATCACAAAGTCGTTTTCTTCCATTAATCACATCAAACGCATGCCGCCGTCACCCTCTTTAGTTACATGGCAAGTGTCGCAAACTGCGCCTCTATCACGTAATTAACTTTTTTATTATCCCCTTCAAGAAAGTCTCCCCAATTCAGGGTGAGACGATACTATGGCTGCACATGTTTTGTTTGTTGTTGAAACAGTTTTGTTGGAAAATATAAATTTGGTAAAAAGCAAAATGTAGCTGTGTTTCCCCTGATTTGGAGCAGCTGGCTAAGGAAAACAAGGTTCGACTCCTTTGGGTTCCTGGCCACTCAGGGCTAGATGATAACGAACAAACAAATGGGCTAGCGAAAATTATTTATAGGCCCCAGGTTCAGTTTTGGAATATCGTGAACAGTGATGACAAGGCTTGTGACTTGAGGAAGCATCAACACAAGATGGGGATATTCAATGGACCTACTGAATGCACACTGTGCGGAGAGGAAGACATAACAGCTTTTTACATCATATATGACTGTCTGACCTTATCACACAAAAGATAAAGATTCTTCAGAGCAATACAGATCAGGGACCTGTAAATCTTGTCCAAGGGCTATCAGACCTGATACAGGAAACAGAACTCTTGTAGAAAAGATCCCACCTACAACCAACCAACCAACGAAGCTAACATTTTACAACAAATGCTTTCTGAACTTAGGAGAACTTGTGGATTCTGATAAGTCGATGCAGGAGAAATACTACAGAGGGTATTGTAAATAATTTTGGTACCTCGAAAAGCCTTATAAGTATGACGACGCAAGAGAGACAATTTGGCACATTTCATCAGAATTCAGTATCTCAATAATTGAAACATCACAGTTCCGTATGCAAGCACTATATCAATTTGAAAACCTTAAATCATCTATAAAATACTTGTTGGACTTGAGAAGTTACATCTTGAACTCCATATTGAAATTTGCATGATTCTGCCAAGTTGAAGCACAAGAATTTAAGAAATAAGTATTTAAATTAAATTAGATATAATGTGAAAAATATAATATTAGATAAATACCTACTTATGAAATATGTCCTGCACGTCCACCACCTAACTCACACAAATCAAAAAAAAAAAATTATCCGTCGGAAAAAAAGATTGAAAAACCCAGTCCATAAGACGGTAAGGTTTGTAAAAAGCACACAGGCCCCGGCCGCTTTCTTTTCTGTCGCGAAATATTCTGACATTAAGAAAGAGTATAAAAGTAGTTGAGGGGGTCGTTGTGGGTGGCCAAAGGGTGGCAAGTGGGCGGGGCGTGTTGAGGTAGACCGCCACCGCCGCCGACGCCACCAACCAGGAAAGACGGCGGATTTTTGCCCTCAGACCGACGTCGTTTCTTAGAGGTTTACCGACGCCCGAGACGCAAGCGCGCAACACTTATAAACGTCTTTTCGTCTTTTTTACGAGGCCTCTGCTCGCTCGCACTTGCTTGGAAAGCTAGTGCTCTCTTTGTCCGGCGTTTCTTAAAAGAATCTTTCTAGCTGCGTCCTTTTTCTCGCCGGTTTTCTTGGTCCCGCTCTAATTCCTGGCATACTTGGGTGATGTAAAGGTGTTTTGATGATATATTTACGGGACAATTCGGGCTGCGAGAAGCGCTGTTCGAACAGGAACGGATTCTAGAATAATTTGACTTTTGTAGAAAGGCACGTAACATCTCACATGTAATGTAACAAAGATGTCTAGTTATTAAATACGCGTATTTTTTCATCATATACTTGGCTATTATACACATTCTATACTTGTTGTGTAAATAAGTTTCATACATTTGGATTAAGATTATTTTGTTTTAGAGTATCACATTAACTTTTTGGTGAGTCCATTTGGAAACTTTGAATAAATGATTTTAAATTATAATATTTACAGTAACACCAGAAAAATATTCATCATATAAGGAAATAATTGTCTCTGGACAAGGAGTTTCACTACTAAAAATCATTTTGAAATTTTTTTTCAAGAAAATATAAATCATAGACAAGAAAAAAAGGATAAAGAGGGTAAAAATGTCATGATCCTTCGATGACAATAAATTGAAGATTAAAAATGCCATATTTTTAATATTATTTCTTTTTGGAGACCGTATTTTCCTTTAAATATAATTCTTGATTTTTGTATGTTTGTATTATCAGAAATTCTTTGCTGTTCCTTTGATTTCTTGGATTTGCTAAGAATATATGATACAATTTTTCTTTCTCAAAATTTGCCTTATAGATTCTTAGAATTCTCTTTCAGTCCGGTTCTGAGCGTTAAGTATCAGGAACGAGTAGGAAGGCGCGACGATAAAAGGTAACGTATATAATAGACGTTCACTTTATACTAGCGATACTTATATCATATTGTTACTTTTTTCTACCTATTTCAGTGAAAATTATCAGGATTTGTACCTAATGATTTTGGTTTTTGAAGTAGATTTTCAAGATTTTCTCATATTGCTATTTTTCATCGAATTAATTTGAAATTTCAGGATGATATAAGCTCCTTTCCTTCTTCTTTCTACACCAAAAAATTTCAATACATTTCCCTCGACAGTTTTTCAAGAAAGCATTAAAATGTGAAGGAGTGTTTTGGATCAAATGTGTGATTCATTTTCAAAGTTGGTATTCAAGATTTTTTCATGTTGTTATTGACTTTCATTGAATTATTATGAAATTTCTGCATGATGAGCACCTAATCTTACTCTTTCTGCTTCAAGAATTTCAAAAAAATCTCTTGGACAGTTTTTCAGGCAAGGATTAAAATGTGAAGGAGTGTTTTTGATCAAATGTGTGGCTCATTTCTAAACTTGGCGTTCAAGATATTTTCATGTTGTTGATTTTCATTGAATCATTGTGAAAATTCAGCATAATGAGCACCTAATCTTACTCTTTCTGCTTCAAGAATTTCAAAAAAATCTCTTGGACAGTTTTTCAGGGAAGGATTAAAATGTGAAGGAGTGTTTTTGATCAAATGTGTGGCTCATTTCTAAACTTGGCGTTCAAGATATTTTCATGTTGTTGATTTTCATTGAATCATTGTGAAAATTCAGCATAATGAGCACCTAATCTTACTCTTTCTGCTCCAAGAATTTCAAAAAAATTTCTTGGACAGTTTTTCAGGGAAGGATTAAAGTGTGAAGGAGTGTTTTTGATCAAATGTGTGGCTCATTTCTAAACTTGGCGTTCAAGATATTTTCATGTTATTGATTTTCATTGAATCATTGTGAAAATTCAGCATAATGAGCACCTAATCTTACTCTTTCTGCTCCAAGAATTTCAAAAAAATTTCTTGGACAGTTTTTCAGGGAAGGATTAAAGTGTGAAGGAGTGTTTTTGATCAAATGTATGGCTCATTTTCAAAGTTGTAATTCAAGATTTTTTCATGCTGTTGATTTTCATTGAATCATTGTGAAATTTCAGCATAATGAGCACCTAATCTTACTCTTTCTGCTTCAAGAATTTCAAAAAAATCTCTTGGACAGTTTTTCAGGGAAGGATTAAAATGTGAAGGAGTGTTTTTGATCAAATGTATGGCTCATTTTCAAAGTTGTAATTCAAGATTTTTTCATGCTGTTGATTTTCATTGAATCATTGTGAAATTTCAGCATAATGAGCCTCTGATCTTTCTTTTTCTGCTGCAAAAATTTCAATAAAGTCCTCTCGACCGTTTTTCAGGAAAGCATTAAAATGTGAAGGAATATTTTTATTTAAATATGTGGCTTAATTTCAAAGTTGGTGTTCAATATTTTTTTCATGTTGTTGATTTTCATTGAATCATTGTAAAATTTTAGCTTGATGAGCTCCTAATCTTACTCTTTCTGCTCCAAAAATTTCAAAATATTCACCCAGACAGTTTTTCATGAACGCATTAAAATATGAAGGAATGTTTTTGATAAAATTTTTAATGTTGATGTTCAAGATTTTTTCATGTTGTTAATTTTCATTGAATCATGGTGAAATCTTAGCATGATAAGCACCTGATCCCACTCTTTCTGCTCCAAAAATTTCGAAAAACTCCCCTGGACAGCTTTTCAGGAAAGCATTAGGATGTGAAGGAGTATTTTTGATCAAATGTGTGGCTCATTTTCAAAGTTGGTGTTTAAGATTTTTTCATGTTGTGGATTTTCATTGAATCATTGTGAAATTTCAGCATGATGAGCACCTCATCCCTCTCTTTGTGCTCCAAAAATTTCGAAAAACCCCCTTAGACAGTTTTTTAGGAAAGCATTAAGATGTGGAGTGTTTTTGATCAAATGTGTGGCTTATTTTCAAAGTTGGTGTTCAAGATTTTTTCATGTTGTTGATTTTCATTGAATCATTGTGAAATTTTGTTATAATGAGCACCTAATCTTACCCTTTCCGTTCCAGAAGTTTCAAAATTTTCTCATCAACAGTTTTTTGGAAAATCATCAAAATATAAGAGGGTACATTTTTCTCAATTTGGTTTTTTTAAGTTGATTTTCAGGATTTTCTCATATTGTCATTTTTCACCAAATTAATTTGAAATTTTAGTATGATGAGCTTATTTCCTTCCTCTTTCTACTCCAAAAGTTCAGGTTCTCAACCGCCAATGATAATTCCATGATTAACAAATTTCTCAAATTTCATTGAAAAATGACGAAATAAGAAAAAATAAAGAACCCCGCACACGTCTTATGAGTTTTTGGTTTTCTGTAAAACTTAATTAAATTTTGATACAGGGTATATTTTGACTTCCTGATAAAAAGTTCTCATAGGCCCTACCCGATACTATGAATAGTTTTTTAATGTCTAAAAAATGATATTTATTTCTTGGACATCAAGAAGTCAAGATATACCACATATCAACACATAAGTATTTAAGAAATGTACATTTCTTGGGTATCAAACTACTTGTATTTCGACAACTCTTTATATAGTATCGGGTTGGGCCTGGCCTATAAAAAATTTTTATCAGGAAGACAAGATATAGATACCACATACCTATCAAAATTTCATTAGGTGTAGCAGAAAACCAAAAACCAATGACTCCTTAGCTCTTTTATGGTGAGCCACCCCACATTTTCAATAATTATAAATTCAATAAATTTGTTTAAAAACTTCCAATATCAAAAAATATCATACAAAAATTCCCGATATCCTTCTGACTGACAATCCCGACAAAATCGAATCGTTCGTGCAAAAATAAATAAAACGATGCAACGCAACTCGCCCCCAATACGTTGCTCTCGTGCCACATGCAATTCCCTGGAAAAAAAAAAAGGAAAACAACAATCATGGCGCAACAAAACGTCAAATCTATCGAAAAGTCGACGACGACGTCGGTAAACATTTGCCGCCTTGATTGCGCCACCCCCCAACCCTAGCTATGCCTCTTTTTATTTTGTTATCGTTGATGTTTGTTCTCTTATGGTTTTTAGAGTTTTTCTGTCAAGCAATTGTGAATTGATTTTTTTCAAGAATTTGCGCTAGACATTCAACACTATCTTCTATGGTTATTCTTCAAATGGAAAAAGTAGGTAACAAAAATTTTGCTCGGGAATATATAATTTTGGACATTGGTTACGTGCCTACTTAATAGTAAAAGTAGATTTTCTCAATAATTTAATTTGAATTTAAATATAAAATATGAGAACAAAATAAAACATCAACTAAACAAACAATGTTATTGGCGTCGCGACGCGGCCTATATGAAATCCACCGTATGACATTCAAAGTTGACGAGACTTTGGGGAGCTGTTTACTACACCAATCTTAACACCGATGCCATTCGGATAAAAAACCAGGGAGGGTAAAAAGCATATTTAAGGGTAAATAAATTGAAAAGTGACGTCTCTTATAGCCCTTGGGGGTATTATCAACTAAAATCAAATCGAACCCAGGAAGGTTCATTGGTATTTCTATGTCGAACCCAGTTATTTTATATGAACATCAGAATCGAGAAGTTCAATCAAGAAAAAAGAAAAAAAAAAATCAGCTAAAAAATTACCAAACGAAACGCTAACAAGCTCTTTGCTTTAAAGTGACTTAAAGCGAGGCAACCCCCTCTAAAAATACGAAATTGCTTAATTCGAGACCATTCGTTCAAGATGCCGCCGTCATCATTGCGAAGAAATTCGAGAGAATTTAAAAATTGCTCTCGTTAAGATGATTTTTCCCGATTTGAATTTCGGGACACATACGGGATTCTACCGGGGACTACTTCAAAAA